TAAGGATTCTGGGGAGGGGGGCTGGTGAACGGAGCCAGGGGAGAAAGAAGGAGAGAGCGTGTGAGAGCCTGGAACACTGCCTGGTACAAGAGCAGACAAGTTAGCTGCAGCTATTATTGTTGTTGGGATTTTGCTTTCATTTCAACAGTGACATCTGTCTCAGAATTCCACCAATTTTCTCTTCTGCCTATATCAAAACAATTCACAATGAGAGCAGAGATTCCCAAGACTCACATGTGGGTATCTGCTTAAGTGGCATCCAACTTCCCACTAAGCCATGCTACTTGTTACATATTAAACTTGAAATAGAAATTGAAAATCCAGAAGGGCTTCTCACCTAAATCCAAATACCCCTTCCTGCAAAGATGTCTAGGCAAGAATTTTCTGCACTTCCAAGATATCTCACATTTACATTTTGAACTGACACCTATGCCGCATAAGCCACAGACAAAAGAAATCCCCCTTCAATAAATAATTTATCCAAGAATTCTTGGATGCATTGATATCAGGCCATTTTAATAAAACTCAAATGAAAATCGAATGTTTCAAATTATGTAAGTCTTCCACTTAGCTAATTAGTTCTTATTAGAGGCTGCTTGTTCTTAACATGCTAATGGTGAAATTCTTCGAGTCACTTCAAGAACTGCTTAAAATTCAGTCGCCAGAGTAGCTTCATGAAGAGCTTGCTGGCATCCTCAAGACTTCTCCTTGGCAAACCCAAAGAGAGAAGAAACAAAAATAGACAAAGCTGGAAACGAACACATCACATACCTATTCCTCACCATAAGCTGGCTTTCCTCATGGTTATTAACTCACCCTCCACCCATGACCCTACCAGGAGGCACACAAAAATTATAACAACATATTTGACTTTGCTAACTTATGAGCTAAGTCATTAAAAATAAGCTTCTATTCGGATTATAGGGCCCAAGTCCAACACCAAAAAATTAGCCTTTCTGGAGAGTTGTATGTTATTTGTAGTGTATCAAATATATATAACTCTCTAGAAAGTTCCCTTTTAGGGGGGCTATCTTTGTACCACAAGTGTGTTAACCTATACCTGGATTTTTATTCAGAGCTATGGATCATAAACCAAGAGCAAAAGATGATTTCTCATCATCCACTGTTTTTTTTTCAAATTGCTTAGGTCTTTCTAGTATTGAGACAAGGTCTATCTAAAACTCAAGCAGAGGAGTAGGTAATTTTGTGTAGCTGTTAAGAAATAACACATCTCAAACAGGAGTGCCTGGGTTCAGGTCCTGGTTCTGTTCCAAATTTCAGCTTCCTGGTAATGTGTATGCTGGCAGGTGGCAAATGATGGTTCAAGTAGCTCCACACCCTGCCACCCATGGGGAATAAACTATCATATAGAAGAGATATATTTATTTGCTTGCTTGTTTATTCCTTTCTCTTTTTTTCTTATTTTTCTTTCTCTCGTTCCCCACTTCTCCACTTTTCCAATAGATCATTTTTAAGTAGATAAAAATAAAACAGAAAATTCAAATTATCATCCTAATAGCCCAACATCATGAGGTCACTTAGTTAAATTTCCTCCACTGTCTTCTTAGATGGTTTCAATTTTAACCGCAAGTTAAAATTGGGGGTTGGGAAGGAGGGGGGCTACCATTCTCTGACAACCACATAAACATCTGCGAAGAACACAGCCGTATCCATAGAATCTGAAGCCTGAACAAGTCGAGTTGCTGATTTTAAAAGTTTCTCAGGTGACTATTTCACCAGAAAGGTAGCATTTCATTTAAACCCTCAGAAAATCGCAGAAGTCCAGGACTGTAGAGATCCCTTGTATGGCACCCCTGTCCTCAGCGAGGCATGGACTCAAGTACGACAGTTGGGACCCCACTGCCCCCAGGATGGTCTGACAGAGCCCAGGTCGCCACATGCCCTCTGAGATGCTTTGTGGTCCATGAAGCCAAGATGTTCCCATCCCTTTTCTCCTCTCTCCTCCACTATTTTCCCACTTTATGTAGCTGCATGCCTCGCTCCTCATCCTGGCTCTAATCTGTTAAACTACAGACCCACGTATCTTATCCTCCTTCCAGAACTCTAAGTCATTCACAGCCTTAGCACCTGTTTGAGGAAACTCCCAAATCCAACTGTAGTGTTGAGTAATCCATGTCTTGTGGGGACAACAGTCCTTCCACACCGCTTCCTTGTTCCAGTCAAGGATCCCCGGGCTGACAGCAATGCTGACTGCCTTCAGGGCTGCTGGAAACTCTCTTTTTCCTTGGTTCCCCACAACCCACAACTCCTGATTTGCTGTCCGGCTTCAGGACTGGACATCCCTCTTTTCTATCAGCGCTGCCACCACTCCAGGCTAGGTGATGTTTTCTTCCCAGGACCATCTTAGCACGGCCTGCTCAGCCTTTCTAATGCAACTTCACAGGCACTGTCATCTTCCTGTTTTGAGACAGGGTAGGTGTCCCCTGGAACCGGATACTTGGTCTCACCCTCCAACTCTGCTGTTTTCTGTGCCTTGAGGCAAGTGGCCCACCCTCTCTGTACCTTATTTTATCACTGTATAATAAAGATGATAATGGTGCCAGTCACATAGAATGGAAGCAAAAATAAAATGAATGAATAGCTGCAGCACACATTCAAATCCTCGGATGTTTGTCATTATTTACAATTAGCACAAATCCTGTCATACCATACATGCTCCCAAAGGCTCCAGAGAGCTCCGTGGATTCCTCATCCTGACATTCAGTCTGGGTCCAACCAACACCAATCTCTTGGCTTCGGAGTCCTGTACACACAGAAGACCTACACACAATCAAGCAACCTGGAGGAGCCACTGTTCCCTGAACACCCGACCTGCGCCTCCATCCCCATCCTTACTGGTCTTTCTTGAAGGATCTGTCCTCTCACATCTCTGACTGCTGAACGCCATCCATCCTCCCCGTGTTCTCAACTCCTTCACAGGCTGTTCTGAACACTCCTCCAAGCACAGGGGCTACATCTCTCTCAGGGCAGTTAACTTTGCTGCACCCATATCTGCAGTCCTGTTACCCTCACTATTGCCTTGGAACTCCTTGAACGTCCTATATGTATTCACCATCATTTTACTCCCTGTGTCACTCAGCACAGGGTAATTTGGAGTAACAAAAAGGCTGGAGTTGTGGGAAGCTGGAGACCACAGGTGCTGCCATGTCACAGCAGGACAGGTGCAAACAAGAGCAGAAAACACCATCGAGGCTGGAGTCCTTGTCATCATTTCAAACAGCATCCAAATCCACAATCTCAATGCCCTCTCCAGCAAGACTTTCCTTAGAAGACACCAGAAATGCAGTAGAGTAGCGTTTTTTAAGATGTGATTTGCAGTCCCATCTTATAGAACTATCATCAAAATCATACACAAAATTGTGCTTATATATCAATATTAGGATCTAAACTCTGTGCGAGCTGCGTTCAGTTGATTAAATGTAATTTTCTGCTGGATCTATTGCCAACAGTGTCAAAAGAGTGACTCAGATCTCAGGGACCAGAGCATGTTCAATGACATGTTCAATGGCACGTTAGTCACTGCAGAATGGAACAGAACGCCATGCATAGAGACAGCCCCCATCCTCAGACTCACAAGAGCTTCCCAAATCCTACAGTCACAGAAAGAAGGCCTCAACAACGCACATTCTCAACAGCAGAGTGAACACTCCATGAACACTGCTGGCAATGACATCACCCAGGTACCCAAGGTCAGGGAGCAGGCTGAGCCCAGCTCCATTCCACCCAGCAGCAGAGCTGTAACCTGACACCAAGGACGCAGCCCTCCGCCTGGGCAGTTCTGGGCACTCAGGGCAGGTAAAGGGCTCCTTCACTCCCAGCTGGACATCAGCTTCCAAGGAGAGCCCTCCTCACATCCTCAACAGACCCTCCAAGGCACTGACTGGGGGCTCAAGGAAGACCCAGGACATTTACTATTCAAAACCTGAAACGAGTCACAAATCCTTAGGCAAAACAGCCCAACATCCTTTATAACAGGACAAGTCCTAGAAAGCTACTTGGCTCATTCATATGTGCATTTTGTTGAGACAGCAAGACAGTAAAAGAATGTTTAAATTAGACTATAGTAGACTCCTCAGCAACACCAGCTCTTATCTTAACAGTACATGATCCAGTCAATCAGCCTTCCTTTTCTCATCGCCTGCTGCTTTCACTGAATTCATGAGGGGTCTTCAAAAATTAATGGGGAATGTGTATTATGCAAAAACTATGTGCAGATTTCATATTTTTGTAGCCAAGTCAACTTTCCTTTTTCATTCCATTTTCTATGAACTTGGTGAAGTCCCATCCTAGCACTTGATCACAGTTCCCTGTCCTTATTTTCTGCCCTCAGTCCTAATGCCACAGAAGCAAAGGAACCAAAGACAGCCAATCGGCATTCCCGCCTTCCTTGCTCAGAGGCAAAGAAGAGCATGATTTCGGGGGGGCTCCTGACCAGCACCGCTCTATCAGTAAGTCATCTTACAGGCAGCATCTTACTCCTGGATCCAGCTTGCACACAGCTTCCTCCAGTTAATGTGCCCCACTTTCTGAAAGGAACTCAACATCAGAAAAGGCTAAGCTACAACAGACGCCTTGTGAACTGTAAGCTTCAGCGCCCGTAGTATACTCACAGTCCTGAGCCCTGTGGGTGTCTCATAAATACTTGGCCACTGATTCACAGGCCAATTACAGTCTGGCAACGACTGAGATATACCTGCTTGGCCCTACTCTGGGAAGCACCTGTAATCTACAGTTGTTGTGTGTTCTGGTGGTAAGAACTGATCCAGATGGACATCTCCAATGACTGGGGTGTGGACAGGTTCAGATTAGGTTAATGTTCCCTTCACTTCTTCCCGAACATTCGAGCCTTATAAATAAGGTAATGTTACGTACACCATGGGAGAAAAGTGACTGAAACCTTTGTAAAAACAGCACTTCCGCACGAAACAGCCAACAACCTAAATGGTTGCAAGGGGAAGAAAAAAAAAATAGAAACTTACTTTTCATAGACCAGCTCCTCATCGATGGAGAAATAGTGGGTATTTACTGTGCTTTTTGGTCTATTCCTTAAAGTAGCAAAATATAACCGATCTGAAAGACAAGTTTAAAAGACAGAAGAAAACATATGAGAAGCAGGGAAGCAGAGGTGCAGGGTGGTGATAATTCCAAAGGACCAAAATAACATCTACTACCCTCAATTTAAAGCCCCATATTAACACGTGAAATTTCAGAAACCCGATCTTTCCCAGAAAGCAGACCCAGGAGCACAACAGTAAGAGAAGCAAGAGGAGGACCGAACCCTGGGAGCCTGTGGCAGACAGACACCCCGGCGCTCCCAGGGTCCGGGTGGGGATGACAGTCCCCGCAGACCAACTCTCTGGACCTCACCACTGCGGAAGGGGAAGAGAGAAGTGAGCCTCTCCCACAGGGCTCCAGACACTTCAAGAGGAAGGAAGAAGAGGCGAGGGGATGCCCCGAAAACTGAAACCAGCAATGGTAGGGTCCAAGCGACAGAAAGGATCTATTGAAGCTGCAAGATCCCCAGAACAAGAATCTGCCTGGTGCTGGACCGGGCAGAAGCCGGCGCTGCCCCATCAGCGGCAGGGGAGGCCATCCGAGGGAACTGTGGAGGGGACGAAGGACGCAAGAAAAGAGAAGCCGGAAGCAGGGGTCCTGGGGGACAGCAGAGTGGCCAGAGGGGACAGAAGCGCACGCAGCCGCTGCAGGACCCTGCGGGACCCGCGAGAAGCTGGGGCCGCAGTCGGGACGCAGCGGCCAGAAGTGAGCAGGAGTTGGGGGTGGGGGAGGGTGGGAGGCTGCGGGGCGGCTGCTCCTCACCTTTCATGAACTCGCAAGCCCCGATTAGCTCCCCTGACTCCGCTGCCATCTTAAGCGAGATGCACACGGTAGAGGGCTGGGTCTTGGCCAGCTGAGGTCACCCGCCCCCGGGGGCTTCCCCACTGCCCGGGAGCCAGGAGACTCGTGGTCCCAAACACCGAGCCCGGACGAGGGAAGCCGTGAGCGCCGAGGGCGGAGGCGGCTGCAGGGTCAGCGCGCCGGGCGCCCCGGGGACATTCCGTGGGGAACCCGAGCACGCTTCGCGCGGGGCGCACACGCCCCGGGCTGTGGCCACTCCGATTCGGCCCGGGCTGCTGCTGCTGCTGCTGCTGCTGCTGCTCCGCTGCGCCTGGGAAACGCAAACCAGCTCTCACGGCCGGGCCAAGTCTTCCCCCGGCTCCCAAAGTGATCATGGAGGAGAACGCGGCTGGCCCCGATCGCGCCCGTGGCTACTCGTGCGACAGCGGGCAGGACTCCGGTGCCCGCGGGCTGGCAGCAGCTGCTCCGGCTCCTCCTCCGCCACCTCCTTTCAGCAGCAACTCTTCCTCCTCCTCCTCCTCCCCTTAGGTCCGCCCCCAGACCTTCCTCCCCGCCCCCCCTCTGCCCCCCTCCACTTTCACGGCTCCGCGGCCATCCCTTAAAGGGACAGCCCTGTCCTTCCTCCCCGCCCGCCCGCGCCCCAGTTACCAGGCGCCCCGCGGGTCACTAGGAGCCAGTTGCTAAGGCTTTGTTGCCGTTCACCAATTGCAGTACGAGAAACGGGGCCCTGGGGCCCCCAGGGGGAGCCGGGCGGGGCCTTAGGGCCAGAAACTTATGAATGAATCGGGGGAATGGGGGGTGGCGGTGGCGAGGGGCAGTCGCCGAGGGAGGGCGCTGTTGCGGCCTCGGGGGGCCTGCAGGCACGGGCGCCCCTTCCTTTTTGGTGCTCAGTGAAGTCTTCTCCCACTCCGGGGTTTTCCTGTCAACCTCTCTCATTCTCTCGCACGCCCCCATGGTCTTCTAAACTCTTGCACGCGCGCGCAAGTGCATTTACAAACCTCCAATCCTCAATACACACACACACCCCGCCCCGGCTGGGCCTCCAGCCAACCTCCATCCCCCACCACTGAGGGGGTCTCCGTCTTTACATCAATTGTTTAAAATGAAATTTTAAAAGCGCCACTTCCTAGCTGAGAAGTCCACGAACTGGTTTTCTCCACACAGAAGTAGACTAGAGTAGAACTTGGGCTTTGTTCTCGCGGCTATAAAACGTCCCCACCCAGTGGGGGTGCCTAGGGGACGCCGCTGTGAGCGCAAAATCATCACAAATGCCTGAGGTGGGTATTTGTGGTAGGGGTCCCGGAAAGGGGCGAGGCGGGCAGCTAGGCCAGCGCCCCCAGAAGGACAGGGAAGCGAGAAGGGGAGGCGGGAGGGCCACTGGTCCAAGAGGGAAACTTAACACAAAAGAATTTCTTCACGTAGCCTCGACGAAAGCGCTGCCGCCCGGGCTCCTGACCCAGGGCTTCTTTCTGCGAGTTCTTCCCAAGGTTGGAGCAACTTTAATGCCGGGCGTCCCACGGCCGTGCCTAATCGGGGGGCAGTCCCTTCCATACGAAAATGGCGCTTCGGACCCGCCATCGGAAGAGCATGCGCCCTGAGCGGCTTCTCCAGCCGACTTGCCGCCTTGCCACCGCGCTTTTTGCCGGTCGGGAGACAGGGGGCGCGCGAGCAGAGCCGGCGGGCTGGGAGCGAGCTCCGCCTGGGACAGTCCCCGTGGATCTGCTTCGCCCACGCCCCCCAAAACTTAACTGGTACCAGAAACCTGTACCTCTCGGTATTTCTAAGCAGACATAATCTTGCAAAATAGTTGAAAAACACAGCTTCTCCTAACATTCCTATCTTAATGGCAAACCCAAAACCACATAAGTCGTCATACGTTTTAAAACTGTGACGTTCCTAAAAGAATGAGTTGCTGCACGGAGCTTTTCAAACATGTCCGTGTTGAATTCTGCCGAAAGCTTGCCAGATAGCGATGTTAAAAGTCACGACAGCAACTCAGAGGGCTTTCTTGAAAAACTCTGAGATTTTAAATGTATAAGATATGAAAACTGAAGTACTTAGATCTCTTGTAAATTTTACCTCCTTTGTTTAAAAGGCTTCATAAATCCAGTAATAGCAATCTATTTCCACAGTTGTTTTAACCTTGTAGAAACTAAATTCATCTAAATTCCCTAGTCATGTTTCAGCTGAATGTTCTACTAGAAAATGGACATTGGGAATAGAAACCCAGCCTCTCAATGCATAAACCTTTAATTTCACAAAATAAATGGTCTAATTATAAGAACTCCAAATCTACACTTTAAGAGGAGTCAGATATAATTAAGCATTCACTTGTTTTCTAAAATTAATTTACACAAGCATTTTCTTCGATAATTCTTAGAAACTTTGGCTATAAAGAATGAATTGCAACCTACTTAGCAGAAGTCCTTAAAACAAACCCAGATGAAAAGATTACTTTTTCTTTAGCATATTTACAATATAAATATTATAACAAATCTTTAAAGGTAATAAGACACCACAAGTACTTAAGCTTTTTAATGTTGCAACAAGAAAAATAAGTATGAAGGACCTCCCTAAATCAAATGTGTATAATCTAGAAGATACAATTGCACAAGAAAAATGCAAACAAGATAATGTAAATATAGCACACATACATGCCAAGGTTCTAATGAGATCATAAAGCACATTATTGTCTCGATTATTATGAGGTCAAAGTTCCTACTGGTTGTGATTTCATCATAAATACATGTTTTTTCGGTCCATGAAGCAAGATAATGGAAGAAATTTCTTTCCAACCACTTGGGTTCTCTGCAGTAGGAATGTGCACCTGCAGAGACAGAAAACTCCCTCCAAGACAAAGTCAAGTTATGTCTACACCCTCTGGGTCCAGCTCTATTCCTTGAGCTGTCCTGAAAGCTCTTAGTCATTCTTCTACCCATGACAATTCAAAAACACCAAGAAGCTTCTTTCACCACCCTTTCCCCCTTAAAATTCTCCAGATGAAAATCCCCATCTTTTCAGCCTTTTTCTATTATTAATATTATATAGTATCTCACCCTCTCACTTTCAGCCCATTCTCAGCAATACATTGTCCAGTGTCTCATAAAGTATGTCCCCAACCTGAACAAAGGCCAGTAAGAACTTGATATGACCAGGTCTGACGTCAGAAAAAAAAAGATTCAGATGGGAGCAAAGGCAGTGCTGAGAGAAGGGACACAAAGGAGATGAAAAAAAAGGAGAAGAGGGAGATGGGGAGGGAGAGAAGGAAGAGAAGAAATAAGGAACACCTAAGTTAACACTGTTGCAGGAAAAAAGGAGACTATTCTCTCACTGCAATAAGGAAAGGAAACTGAGCTTGGCACAGTCAGAGGGTAGCAGTTGTAAGATACACTTATTCCAGTCTAAAAATTATCCTTATGTCTCAATAGCTGTTTGGTGATAATGATGTTATCCACACAAATAAAAGAAAATTTAAAATAAATACTTTGAATTCAGAAGAAACTGTTTTGAAGATATGAAACTAGCAAAAAAAATCAAAATCCATGAGATAAAATTTCCACTGTTCTTTGTTAGTAAAATGTGTCTCCTGTAGGCAACAAATAGATGGGTTTTCTTTTTTAATACAGTCTAATAATGAGTTTAAGCCGTTTACATTCAGGGTTAATACAAACAGGTGGTAATTTGGTCCCGTCATTTAGGCAATGTGTTTGTTGTTCATTGATTTAGTCTTCTGTTGTTATTTTACTGGGATGTTCTTAGTATTTGCCTTTGGTTTTGGTGGGTGCTATTCCTTTTCTTTTACATTTCTTCAGCGACACGTTAGTCATTCAGTAGCAAGTCATTTAACTCCATGGTGTTGTTGATTTCTTTTTTTTCTTCCTGTTGTTGATTTTGTTTTGTGGCCTTTCATTTAAGGGGATGTACATAATTGTGTAATGGAGACTGTCATACCTAGCAGCACGTTATTTAACTTCATGGCATTGTAAATTTCTGTTTTTCTTCCTGTTGCTGATTTTATATTTTGGCTTTCTGTTTAAGGGGATGTATAGGAACTGTGTAATGGAGACTATCATATCCAGATGTGAGGATACAATGCATTTGCATCTTTACTTCCAGACAAAGATGGACTCCAAATGAAACCGTTTACTATATTACTATATCTTGTTAATAGGATATTGGACTCTCTGCCATTTTCCATGCCTGCAATAATAGACATATGACTGTGTATGAAGACCTATACTATAGTAATGATATAGGGGAACTCAATGAGGGGGGAGTGAATTTTGCTTTGGTTAGTGTCTAGAGTTCTTAAACAGTGCCTGGCGCAGTAGCCTAGTGGCTAAATCCTTGTCTTGCATGTGCCAGGGTCCCATATGGGTGCCAGTTCATGTCCTGTCTGCTCCACTTCCCATCCAGCTTGTGGCCTGGGAAAGCAGCCAAGGACAGCCCAAGGCCTTGGGACCCTGCACCCATGTGGGAGACCTGGAAGAAACTCCTGGTTTCAGAACAACTCTGGCGGTTGCAGCCACTTGAGGAGTGAACCAGCAGATGGAAGTTTTCCCTCTCTGTCTCTCCTTTCTGTAAATGTGCACCTAAATCAGGAAGAAAGAAGAAAGGAAGGAAGGAAGAAAGGAAGGAGAGGAGAGGAGAGGAGAGGAGAGGAGAGGAGAGGAGAGGAGAGGAGAGGAGAGGAGAGGAGAGGAGAGGAGAGGAGAGGAGAGGAGAGGAGAGGAGAGGAGAGGAGAGGAGAGGAGAGGAGAGGAGAGGAGAGGAGAGGAGAGGAGAGGAGAGGAGAGGAGAGAAGAAGAGAAGAGAAGAGAGCTCCAGTCCAGAATCGAAGAAGTGAGAACCAGGTGGGACTGAGAGATCAGATCGTTCCACTTTTCGACTCCATATAGTACAAGGGACTCACCAGAGTCCAACCCTGAGAATGAGGATGGAAGACCATGGACAGGAACTCAGGAATTCTGGCGCGATAGCTAACAGTTAAAATCCTTGCCTGGAACGCACTGGGATCCCATATGGGCATCGATTCTAATCCCAGAGGCCCCACTTCCCATCCAGCTCCCTGTTTGTGGCCTAGGAAAGCAGTCTAGGATGTCTTAAAGCCTTGGGACCCTGCGCCCCGCATGGGAGACCTAGAAGAGGCTCCTGGCTTCGGATTGGTTCAGCTCCAATCCTTGCAGATCATTGGATGGAAGATCTGTCTGTGTCCTCCTCTCTGTGTATCTGACTTTGTAATAAAAATAAATAATTCTTTTAAAAAAAATATTTCAATTGTAAAAACATTACTTGATGAAAGGAACAAAAGAGAGAGAGAGAATAGGCTACATGGCACACTAAACAGCTGATTATATCAGCATACTTTCTTCAAACCATTTAGAGATAATTTTGGCTGATAGTGAAACAAAAAATGCTGCGTTATCTGCCATGGCTGTTTTCTCCCATGGCTTCTGCAAA